GCAGCATCTCGCCGTCGGCCGCCTCGCCGTCGGCCGCTTTTCCGTCTGCCGCCTCATCGTCGGCCGCCTCGCCGTCGGCCGCCTCGCCGCCAGCATCTCGCCGTCGGCCGCCTCGCCGTCGGCCGCTTTTCCGTCTGCCGCCTCATCGTCGGCCGCCTCGCCGTCGGCCGCCTCGCCGCCAGCATCTCGCCGCCAGCATCTCGCCGTCGGCCGCCTCGCCGTCGGCATCTCGCCGTCAGCTTTCAGCGTTTCCACGTCACGGTTTGTCGTACCTCCGGTGAGTCACGCGCTAGTTAAACGCATCCCTTGTCTGTTCTGTGCATTTCCTTGTTGGCGTTGCCTTATGTACGTCATTGTACAATTTTGCAGGGCGTTACGTCTTGTTCGTTAGTTGGTTGTAAAGCGCTGTTGTCTGTTGTGGTTTTTCAAGGTTGTGCCGCATGCAACGTGCTTGTGCAGTCTTATTTTGTTTGCATCATAAAGCAGATCATGGCCGGGCAGCAGATCAGCAGCTGATAGGCAAAACAGCAGATCAGCAAACATCTAGGAAAGACAGCAAACTAGACCAGCTTACCGGATTTTAGCAGCACGTGTGCCGTGGTGTGGTGTATTGTGCTGCATGACAATGTAACTATTTTGTAAGTGTCAATTTGTGAAATTATGTGCTGCATAATTTATATTTGCATCCTGAATCAATTAATAATATTTTCTCATGAATATTTCCTTGAAGCATTACATATAAATGTTTTGTCAAGTAAATGTATTGTTTATTATTGATTGTTTTTACGTAATATATAATAAACTAAATTTGTGTTTAACGTGTTGTCGTTACGTGATGCTCCCGACGTCGGCGTGTCGTCCCCAGCGGGATCATTGTAGGGCGCTTTGTTGGGGCTGTGCCGGGCAACATGAGAATCGTAGCACATCAGGGCGTAACCTTTCGATGCACTCACCTCGCTGAACGCATCTAATTCCCGTTCTGCTCCTTGCTGCTACACAACTTGCCTGCCCACATGCACCACATGCACAACTTGCCGTGGCCATCGCTGTCGTTTTCTCGCCGACGGCGAGGTCACCAGCGCCCTCTCGCCGTCGCCTTATCGCCGTCGGCGCCTTGCCGACGGCGCCTTGCCGTCGGCCGCCTTGCTGTCGGCGTCTCGCCGTCGGCGTCTCGCCGTCGGCGTCTCGCCGTCGGCGTCTCGCCGTCGGCGTCTCGCCGTCGGCGTCTCGCCGTCGGCGTCTCGCCGTCAGCGTCTCGCCGTCGGCGTCTTGCCGAAGGCGTCTCGCCGAAGGCGCCTTGCCGTCGGCGTCTCGAGCGTGTAGGGAGTACGGCATGAAGGTCTTTCCCCGTATGTTCACTGCGTGGATGCCACTTTGTGATGTAGTGATGTCGTACATACGTTCGGAGCAAAGTTTCTTGCTGTGGGTGTTTCGTGGCGCGGTGTTTTTCTCCTGTTGTGCCGGCAAGCAGCAACAGCAGCAGCGACAGCAAAAGCACAAAGGCAGCAAACTGCAAAGATAAGTTCAGCAAACACAGATAGAAGCTGCAAAGCCGGCCGATGGTTATTGTTGCGGTGTTCAGTGGCTTGTATTTGTGCGCAATTGTATGTATGTATGTATGTATGTTTGTATGTTGGTGTTCAAATGTGGGTGAGAATGTGCTCGCGCGCGCGCGCGTGTGCGTGTGTAAGTGTCTGTAGATGTGTGTAAGAGGGTGTATGTGTGTGTCCACGCGCACGCATGTATACGTATGTGTGGGTATGTGTGAGGGTGCTACTGTTTTTACTTGCGATGGAGAATTCCCAACTGCCCGCGATCCGCCTGTGTGCTTATTAGTTTGTTTCTGCATTTTGTGCGCAGCTGCTCATGTTGTTTTGCCGTGCAAAGTCTGTGCTCGTTGCGTCCCCTGCTAGCTGATTAACAGCGTGTGTGTGTGTATTTCCCCGCCCGCCTCCCGCCCGATCCCCCCGCCGGTCTGAGCGAGCTTGGGCGAGGACTTCCAACAGGACAACATGTATCGGCGCGACGAGCCGTCGCCACCGCCGTACATCGCCGTACATCGCCGTCATGTGAAAGTGTAAGTACGAGAGGGGCCTCGTTTCACACGTCCCCCCCCGTCCTGCAACGCTTTGCCATGGCATGTCGGATTTGGGATGCCGGATTTGGATTGCCGACCACCAATCAATCTGCATCATCAATCCTTTGTTGTGGTATGCATGATGGCATGGCATGGTCGAGGGTCGTTTGGTTCCATGTCTTGCGTTTCGTTGGAATCTGTTGCGAATTCGGCCACTCCGAAACCGCCTTGTAGTGTGTATGTAACCACGTCATCCCCGCCCGAATCCCCTGATCACTCGCTGCAACAACACCTGCCGGGTCTGGGCCGCCACCGTCATTTTCACCATCAGCATCACCGTCGACGTGGAAGACATGCCATTTTGATCACCGTAGGCGTCTTGCCGTCGGCGTTTCCACGTCGTACCACCGGTGAGTCTAAGCTATACTTAAATGCATGCCTTGTCTGTGCTGTGCATTTCCTTGTTGACGTTGCCTTATGTACGTCATTGTACAATTTTGCAGTGCGTCACGTCTTGTTTGCTAGTTGGTTGTAAAGCGCTGTTGTCTGTTGTGGGTTTTTGTTGTTGTGCCACATGCGACGTCGGCGTCTCGCCATGGACGTCTCGCCGTCGGCGTCTCACTGTCGGTGTCTTGCCGTTGGCATCTTTTAGTTCTTGTCAAATTGCTGTTCTTGCACGGCGGCTTTCTCCGCTGCCCTCACAGGCACTGCAGCAACGGGGAAGGGGTGGCTCGCTGGACAGCGGCGCCGGCGCCGTCGGCAAGCTATCAGCAGCTTAGTTCTTGTCGTGCATTTCCCTCCCCGGCCGCCGCTGCGGCTCTTCCCCTCTGGGGTCGCTGCCACCGCGACCTTTTTGCGGTGCATTTCCCTCCCCGGCCGTCGCTGCGGCTCTTCTCCTCTGGGGTCGCTGCCACCGCGACCTTTTTGCGGTGCATTTCCCTCCCCGGCCGTCGCTGCGGCTCTTCTCCTCTGGGGTCGCTGCCACCGCGACCTTTTTGCGGTGCATTTCCCTCCCCAGCCGCCGCTGCGGCTCTTCTCCTCTGGGGTCGCTGCCACCGCGACCTTTTTGCGGTGCATTTCCCTCCCCAGCCGCCGCTGCGGCTCTTCTTCTCTGGGGTCGCTGCCACCGCGACCTTTTTGCGGTGCATTTCCCTCCCCGGCCGCCGCTGCGGCTCTTCTCCTCTGGGGTCGCTGCCACCGCGACCTTTTTGCGGTGCATTTCCCTCCCCGGCCGCCGCTGCGGCTC